AAGTTTATTATTAAACCTCATAAATTCCACTAACACTGACATGAAAGAAACGATATTCTACCTACATATATAAAAATAATTTTAATTTTGTTAATAAAAGTAAATTATTAAAATTTTGTTTACTTCTCCTTAATCCATTTCTTCTTCCCAAAAGGAGATAATTAATTTTATTGATATTTCCTTGGCATTAGGGTTGGTCGGGATCGGGATCCCGACATAAAATCGGGATGTTGGAATAATAATCCCGATCCCGGTTCCGACTGCGGGATCGGGATTTAAATTCGGCCTCGGAATCAGAAAAATTGGGATCGGGATTCAAAAAGACCGGGATAATCCAGCACTATCCCGCCCAACTCTACTTGACGTTCTTTTTCAATTGAGGAATAGTAATTTTATTAATTTAAGTATTTTCGAAAGATAAACGAAATTTTAAATTATAATCTTTTTAAATAAAAAAAGCACCATTTGTGAAAGAACAGCAAAAGCAATAGCTACACCAGAATGTAGAAATACTTTTAAAAAAATAATTAATTTGAATTAAAAAATATTTTAAAAAATTACCAGAAACAGCCAAAAATCCAATAAAAATAAAAGCAGATAATTTTCTGGTGGGTAAATGAAAAGATAAAGACAAAGAGAATAAACTTAAAATAGCCAATAATTGAGCAATTAATAAAATAAATAATAAAGTTTTTTGCCATCCGTGAAAGGGAGGGGAACGTAAATTATTAAAAGCTTCTGTTGGCGAGGATAATGAGGAAGAAGAATAATCTGTTGTTGATAAACTGTAAACACAGGCATGCATTCCATTTGGTCTTTAATAATTGAATAAATTAGGTATTTTGGGGGGTTTTTTGTAAAAATTTAAAATAATTTTAAGTACTTTTGATTGTGTAAAAAAAATTTTTTTTACTTTTTTTCAACAAAATAATTTTTGTAAAAATATATTTTTCACCTCGTTTGGCAATTTAGCCATAAACCGCTAAATACCCATTGATCAATTTCACGTGCATAAACAACTTGCCAACTAAATAATTAAAAATAATTAAATAGAATTAAGCTAAAAATTAAGAAAAAAATCTTTCCCCTTCAAATAAATATTTTTAAAAATTAGAATATCTCTCTCACAATTTTAATTAAAAATTAATTAATTAACCTAGGTGTAAGAATAGCTGCAAATCCAATTATAATCCCAATTAATAATAGAAATAAAGAAACAATTTGAGCAACGGAAAGGGGGAAGATTGAATTAATTGAAAATATTCCCCCTCCAACAGAGGTTGAAGAAGCCATTTTAAATTTAATTTTTATTTAAATATTTCCAATCTTTTATTTAATTTCTTTAAAAATATAGAAAATATTTATTTAAAAAATAATTTGAGAAGTGCAAAATTAAATAAAAACGAGGGGGATTGCTTTTTTAGAAAAAATAATAATTTAAAGTGTTAATGTTATTCAATAGACCTTAAAAGTAAAAAATAAATGTTGAGAACTTGCGCATATTAAAATTATTGTTGAGAGTTAGTACATAAACTTAAAAAGAATATTTTTTATTTAATAAAGGTTAAAGATTAAATAAATATTTACAGTCCGCCCCCTAGGGACCAGCTGATAAAGAAGTAACTTTTTAACGGTGGTTTATAAAAATTATTTTTAAAATAATAAATTTTTAATAAATTGTAAATAGTTTTTAAAGTTTAATAAATAAAGTTTAAATGGATGCATGAAATAATAAATTGTAAAGGAAAATAATGAACATTTTATAATTTTTAAAAGAAATAAATATTAGTCATTATTATTTTATTATATCAAAGGCTAAAGCTTGCTATAGCGAGAAAATCCAAATCCAAGTCTGGATTTTCTATGCTTTCCAAATTCTTTAAATCTCTACATATTTTACATCTATAAAAATCTTACAAGCTACATATTTAATATAAAAATTACAAAAAAAAATTAATTTTGTTAAATATTCTCGTTAAGGTGTAGCAGCGATCGCGCAATTCAAAATAAAGGAAAAATAAAAATCGGGGGGAGTTTGGAAAGTCTTTTAAGGCTGTTTTCTCATCGATTTTCATCTCTCTTTTGCTGTTAGATTATTTCCTGTTTTTCTTTTTTTGAATGTGTCACCAAACAAGGTGCAGCCGTTGCTTGGGGCAATAAAAAGAAAATTTTTTGAAAATTATTATTTGTTTGTTTGGAAATTTTAGATCATTCCACACAACAAATTTTAGTAAAATTAAAAATTAATTTGAGGATAATCATTTTTTAATTTTAATTATTAGGTATGTTAAACCCTTCAGCCCAAGAATTTGAGTATCAGTTAATAAACCTCAAACAATAAGAGTTGTTACTATTTTTTTAAAATTTATTTAATAAAACAATATTTAAATAAAAAATATACAAAATATAGATTACATCCTTTATCTACATATTCATCCATAATATCCCATTCTTGGTTTATGTCGTTTCCAAGCCATTTCCTCATCTGTAGATCTCCATAGCCATGGTGGTGTTAATGATGAACCATCTCCTCCTTTATAATAATACTTCTTTTCGTAAGGTATATATTCTGGTGGTGGCCGAGGACGAGGAGGAGGAGGTGGAGGAGGTGGGGGAGGTGGTGGTGGTGGTGGTGGGGGAGGAGGCGGTGGAGGAAGCGGCGGAAGTGGAGGAGGTGGTGGAGGCGGTGGTGGTGGTGGAGGCGGTGGAGGGGGAGGCGGCATCTCGTATCTTTGATATCCATATCCATGTTTTTTCCTGCTGATGCTGTTAAATTTAATAAGATATTAGAATTAATGATAAATATAGAGCACACAACCCGGCTTCTGGATTCCTAAAATCTTACGATGAAAAAAACGATGTAAGGCCCTAGCTAGAGATTTTTGGGTCCCATTCTTGGCATCTTAATAAGAGAAGCCTTTCTACCAATTAATATTTAATTTGTAACCCCATTGGCGATGAAATTAAGCGACTTTCCAAAATAGTTTCTTGTGGTGGAATTATAGGAGGTGGTGTTATTTGTGGTACTTTTGGAATGAGTGGTCCGGCAATTCCTCTCTCAGCAATACTTAATGTTTCTTCTATTGTAGAGCCTGGAGGACTGGCTGCATTAATTGAAGCTAAATCTATTAATCAAGATTATTTAGATGAGAAAAGATATTTTAAATTACCAGTCGGTGTTTGTATACTTGGAGGATCTGGAATGGATGGTGGAGATCCCCAGCCTGGGGGAGGTCTAAGTACAGGCACTACAGGTAATGGCATATTATTTGAATTAATTGACTCTTGAGTAAGCGATTCAGTTATATCGATACCTCCACCGTCAGGTGGTGTTCCTGGTGCTGCACGGGGAGGTCGGCTAATTGAAAAAGATTTTTTGAAAATTTTTAAAATTTATATTAATTCAAAAATCAAAATTTCTCTCACAATTTTGGTTCCAAAATAGAATAGACCAAAATATAATTGCAATTAAAAATAATTAAAAATAATTGTAGATACATCCAAACTCCTTTCTCCATTCTTTAAATGGCAATATTTTTACAAAGTAAAATATGTCAAACCAGAAACATAAATTTATTTAATAAAATTATTTTACAAATTTTGTCATGCATTAAAAAGACATTTTAACACCTTTTTGGCCCGCCTTTATATATAAAATTTTCCTCATCTTCAATTCTTTCACAAAGTTTTTATAAAAAAATTTTGTGATTTTTTTGTTTTTTCCTTTTGTATTTTTATATTATTTTTATTTAAATGACTTTTCCAATTGTTTAAATTTTTTATAAATCTTTTGTTAATTTTTTGCCTAATTATGTTTACTTTCCAAAAATAAATTGAATTAATAATTAAAGGAAAGAAAGTCTTTTAATTTTCTTTTCTCGTTATGTAATTTTCACGGTCACGGCCCACAACTTTTTATTTTTTTATTAATTTAAGTGCTTTCTACAAGTTTATTTTTTGTGCTTTCAAAAAAAGTAGAACTGAGAGAGGGAGAGAAAAACTAACTTAAACATTAAAACAATTCCTTTTTATTTTATGTTTCGGTAAGTTTATTAAATTTTTGACAGAAAATTTTTTTACAAAAGTTTACAAAAGCATATATGAGTGTTTTCAAAAATCAGTGCTGCAAAATTTGATTTAGACCTAATAATTTAGTCTAATAGTTTAAACACTATCAGGTTTATAACACTTTTTGAAACATATGAAACCCATCGTTATTAGTCAATTTCTGGAAAATGAGATTAGATTTTAAGGCCCTACTTAAGTTAAGAATAGATCAAGGTTTTTTCCTTCCCTATTATGTTATAATTTAGCTTAATTAGTGTGATTAGCATAGATTAAGCTAAAAAAGTGCCCTCTAACATTAACAGAAATCTAAAATTTCCATCAATTATTTGATCTTATTCTTATTACCTCGATAAAGTAATACAAATATAAAAAATATTTATTAGACAATTTTTGATAAAAACAAATTGAAAAAAATTCCATAAAGAACGCCCTGCTTGGCATTCACACAAAACATGATAACCTAACTCAAGATTTCTGTTTATTACTTGCAAACCGACAAGTCAAATTAGCTCTGTTGTAGCTTGAATAAAAATGAAATATGATGATTAACTTTCGTAACAGATTGTTTAAACATTGCTAGGTTTGCAAATAATGAAGCAGAAAGCTTTTAAATGACCCACACTATCTGGAATTACCTAAGTGAATGCCAAGAAGGGTTGCTTCCAATTTGCTTTATAATAAATTTTCAATTTGCTTTCTAATAAAATGATAACAAAAATTTTGGAAAGAGGTCCACTGAATGAGTAGAAAAAATATATTTAATTTCTGCATATTTTCTGTATTGAAAATATAATTATTATGAGGTCTATAGTACTAGGCAGAGTACATAAATTGGTTGAATACCAAATTCGTACCCGACCAATTTAAAATAAATATACAAAACCGAAAGAAATGACAAAGGAAATAATAAAACGATTCTCTGAAGAAACAAATTATTGATGTACCTGTGTAGTTATAATATTATTGTTGTTGTTTTTGCACACTTTATATATGTCTTCTGCTAATCCAACAAAATGATCACGATAATCAGCAAGTGTGTGCAACTGCAGCACGCAGTTTGAATCACGCGCAAAAGCACTTAATTTTTCCTGAATGAGGAATTTATTTATTTTCTTTTTTAATTCAAATAAACTAACCACCAATTTATTATATAACCGTTGAGCCAAAGAACGCTCATTAATATACAATTTGTCAGAATGTACTCTTTGAATAGTTTCGCAGATCGTCGCCAAATTTGGCAGCAAAATTCTTAGGATAACCTAAATTTAAAAATAAAAAATTAAAAAAATGATCAAGCAAACATCAGCGCCGAGCTCGCATATAGCAAAAGTAGCACCATACAAAGTAGGCAAAGAAATGTTTTGGTCTGTAAAAGCCCTTGAAAGAGCGCGAATTACTCGAGTATGAATATGCGGTAGACGATAATGCCTAAATAAAAATTAAATAAGCTCTCCCAAAAAATTGATAAAACCTAAGTAATTGAGCAAGCAAATCTGCTGAAAATTCACGAAGCACACAGTGAGTTTCAGAAGTGTGTTGATTGGATGAAAGTTGACGGCTAAGGATACAAGACATCATTGCAGGCAAGAGTTCATGAAGCTGTCATTTATATTTTAAAAGCAATAATAGTAGTAGAGCTTACACAAGGCTCTAATGAGAGAGCAGCATTCTGAGAAAGAGCCTGGATCATACGCATCTTAAAAAATATAATAAAACCCCCAAAACAGACCTAAAGAATCGAAACATTATAAAAAAACTCGTAATAAACCCAAAACAAACCAGGTAGACCAGAATAGCCATATTATGGACAACTATGTTGCATCGAACCTTAATAGTTAAATTAAACCTTTAAAGATAATTAAGGCTAACTCCTTCAGTTATAGCAATACAAAATCTTGGAAGGAGCGAGCGAAGACCACAATCCATTTGCAAGCAATTCAATGCTTCCTAAAATTTGTAAAAATAAAACATTTACACGAGAATAAAATTCTTCCCACAAGACCTATTATGAAACCAAAGAAATGTTTTCCTATAAAAATAGTCTAATTCTACTTACAATGCGTTTCTGCTCATCTTGACCCATAATAGCCTCCATAATCTTGAGGAAGAATAATTGCTGCTCCTAAAAGAAATTTTCTACAAAATAAAAATGTTCTCAAATACCAAAGACAATGAATGTGTTATAGTTGATTTAAGTTGAACTTGCTCTGTTTTACGCATTGTTTTGGCAGCCTGATTGAGGAAAAAACCACCACTACCCGTAGAGCCATTTACAAGAGCCTGCTCCTGAGCATGATCATCAGAAAGACAAATTTCAGGGGGAGCAGGTGGCAAAGGATTTTCTGGGATTGCTGGTTGTGTTCCGGTGATAACCAACCAATGAGCTAATGAGAGAAATTTTTATAAAATTATAAAAATAATTTAGAAACAATTACCTTTAAGTGTTGTTTCTAGTGGCATCTTTCCAGATGGCGAAGATAAAAATGTTCCAATTTCATACTCTTGGTCATCGCAGACAAAAACATCACGCCCCTGCTTACCAACATGCCTGAGGGAAGGATCAGTAGATTCACAGCTGGACATGAGCTAAAGCAGATCAAATTAATCAATTCACTATCCCAATTTCAAAAAAAAATGTCTCATCTAATTCCAAACATTTCATAATTTTAATTAAAACATACTGGAGAATGACCATAAAAAGCCATTGCAACCTCCAAATCATCTGCAGTAATCCACCGCCGTCTACTGCATTTGTGAAATTTACGTACAAGTTTTAAAATCTTTCGAAGATGGGCAGAAACTTCATCCGATACTTGTTGACATGAAACGACCGGCAATTCAATACCCAATTGTTCAGCAATCGACTAAATAAATTTATGAAAATAGTTTGTCTAAAAAAATTTTTTAAATGAGTTCCTATGGCCGAAATATTTTACAGAAAATGAGTAAAAATAAGACTCAAGCGCCAGCAGATATAAATTTATTTAGAACATACTGGAGAATTTATTTAATTCTATCAAACCTTTACAAAACTAGCATCCAATCCAACACTATTTTGATTTAATATTGCAGTTGAAGTTGATGGTGTCGGAACACATTGACTGCCATCGAGATCCATAAAAATAATAATTGGTTTTTTGGGCTTATGTACCTTTCGATGTTGTTAAAAATAAGTGAATAGGACCACAGCCAACCCAGAATTTTAACTAAAAATTTTTAAATTGTAAAGAAAAAGGTTATTGGCTATACCGATTTAGGAAATTAACACAAAAGCGCCGACTAAGGTAAAGTCCAAGATGTACTCAAAATAAATAAAAATATTGCAATAAAGCAACAATTTATGAACAAAAAAATTTAAAATCAGCGAATTTTTATCGATACGTAAAAAATCTTAGCATACAAGGAAACATCGAAAACTGAACTTATCTCCTAAAAAATTTTAAAGATTTTGCATCCTTGTTAGCCTAAAAACAAGTCCAAATACATAGGTATAAGCGAAGGGTTCCCGAAATAAATTGGAATATGCACAATTTACAAAGAAAAAAAATGAATTTATTTATATCTTTTTCAAAAATTAGATTTTTAATGAAAGATTAATTTTAAAATTTAATCTATCATAAAAAATAAGGAGACAAATTGAAAGAAAATGCCGACATTTTCAACGTTAGGCATTCAAAAAATAAAACATCACCCAAAATAGTTAACAAAAACAAAAAGACAAGAAGATAAAAATAGATAGAAAAAACTGCAACGGCTATTTTTCTTAATTTTAACAGAATAGCCATAAAATTTTGGAAAAATAGCCAGCAGCAAGAATATAACAACAGAAAAATATCTTTTAAGACATACTCCCCTGTTCAGCTTCTCGGATTATTCTGCCTTGTCTGACTTGAGAAGATTGTTTCGTAACTGGTCCACCTCTTTCTTCACTAAGGGCAAAAGAACTTCACCATCCTCGCTAATATAAGCGGCAATTGATTTGACCACCTTCATTGTTCCAGACCTAGTACCTTGTGAGAACTCAGCGATCAATATATACTTGTCATCATATCTAGAAAATAATCAACTAAATTAGAATAAAACAAAAAAACCGCTTCATGTCAGAAGACCATTTCCAGTAACTGGGCGGGCTTTTTTCATCTTTACTTGATTCCATCGCTTGGTAAAAAGTTAACTTCTCCACATACCACTGATAAATTTGCAATATAAAAATCATAACAAAATAACTAATTGAACACAAGGCAAGAACCTAAACAAGAAATTCAAACAAATTTTATTTAAAAAAAACTCACAGATTTTGATGCGGGGAAAGGACGGAAGTAGTCGTAGATGAGAGCGAAACCGGCAAAAGCCACTGCCAGAAATGAAAGTGCCAAACGGCCATTGGCCAACGAGTGACATTCTGTCCAACCATAGTTGTCATTGATTATCTATTTTTAATTGGGACAAATTTTTAATGTATATTTACGTAAAATATTTTTAAAAACAAATCACCTTCTTCACAGTGTCATCCAATGTATTCTTCACATTAGCACCGTCCCATTTATTTACACGTATCGGCTCTTCCTCAGCATCATTTTTATCCTTATTTTTTATAAAAATATTCTTTAACCATGCCAATTTCCCCACCTCTTGATTGGTCATTTTCAGCCAAAATAAAATTAAAACAAGTTAAATAAACTAAAAATCTTTAAAAAAACAAAAAAAATAGGCAAAATTCTTCAAAAATTAAAAGAAATGTCGCTAACTCTCTATTTTTAAACAGGCAAACGACACGTTGTTCTCTACTTTTCTTTTGCAACAACAGCTAAAAATAAAAAAATTGTCTGCCAAAATTCGAATAAATTTGTTTCGAAACGAATGAATTGATTTAATATCGATTTTAATTTTTTATAGTACAGTAGCTTGCATAAATATAGGAGTCACACTGCACGTTTTTACTATTCATTTGTTACATTTCTTAACTTTTCTTGGTTTTATATGCGGTTATTTGGTTATTTTATATTTCAGGACAAATATTTAAATTGATTTGACTTAATTTTGTTTCAATTACTTCAACACAACGGAAATTTGTAAGCTGTTTATTTTGATTTATACTTTGATGTTTTGTGATTCAAATTTTTACCGTGTTAAAGCTACCTTTAGGGATGCGTTGGCGTATGGTTCGGCAATTTATTTAAGATATATTTTTAACAAAAAAATTTTGTTTAATTGATCGTGAGGGAAGCAAAATTGTAACAGGGTAAATCACATGGAGTTCAATAAAGCCGAATGGGCACCCCAAGAAACATGGAGATGACATGGTTGTGCTTATTGTCAGTATAACAGGATGAGTTTGACCTATTCAATAAGTGGTGCTAAAACTGCAAAAACAGTTATTTTAACAACCAAAATTAAAATATTGAAACGACGCGCTTTTGAATGACAACCCGTAATACCCTCCCGGCAAAGCCCATTGTGAATTATTTATCGGCATTATTGTCTCCAGCAAATTTAGATATCTTGCAATATGGCAATGTCAACTTCAAAGCTGGAGATGAGCTTGGGTAAATTTTTTATCGCATAAACAGTTGTTATTTGCCAATTTCAGACCAGATCATTGATGCTCAAAAGCGTAAGGGCCAAACTGCCGGAAAGAAGCCGATGGGTGGAAACGGTGGTGCGCGTAAAGTTTTTGCGAAGAAGCGCCAACAAAACAACCGTGTTTCGAAATTCAAGCGGAATTCTGGTGGCCTTCGTCGAGTTGCTCGTTTTGGGAACAAAAACAAGACAGCAGCAGGTGCTATGCAGGTGACTTTTTATGGATTATTCGATTTTATCTTTTTTTACGTTAAGAAAAGAATTGTGGCCGTGAAGCGCCAGACTTTTGCTAACGTTAAAAATGCTAGAATTCAGAAGAATAGAAACATGGTGAAGGTTACTAAAAATTTGGTCAGGAAGCTTGTCAAGGTTTTTATAAATTGTCTAATTTGAAAATTTTAATTCTTTCAGAAAGCAATTGCTCAGAATTTTACTACCGTTCCTGTCAGCGTTCGTCCTAGTAAAAGGCAAATGCGTGTTCGTGCAAATCGTCTTCGACAAAAGAATATTCTCAGTCGTGTTAATATTCAATCTCGAATAATTGGTCGTCGCCGTATAATTGCGAATAATTCTCCAATTATGGCAACGCGACGTGTTAAAACTGATAGAGGGCCAATTCGTTTTAATACTCAACTGCCGGCTTTTCAGCATGTTGTGTAAGTTTAGATCAAATCATTAATTTTTCATTTTTTTAGTTCATTACCTCCACGCATCGTTTCTGCTAAACCACAAAAAATTGTACTTCAACCTCAAACTTCGTCGCTTTTTACTACGCCTCGTCGTCAGCAAATAAGCTTTAATAATCAAAATGCAGGTCAAGGATCGTCAGTTCGTGCCCAGATTAATGCAATGCGTCGTGCTAGTCGAGTTCAACAACTCCAGAATCAATTTGCTAAACAACAGCAGCCGACTCAGAATTTTATTGTTCAACAGCCACGTGCTGGACGTCGTGTCCAACAGGTTATCTTGAGCCGACCACAACGCAGAACTCAATATATTCTCGTTCAGCAGCAAAATCGTGGTCAGAAATTTGGTCAGCTTCAGAACAACAATTCCAACGCTTCGAAACGCTTTGTTCGTCGACAGCAATACTTCGGCAGAATGCGTGGTCAGAATCGTGGACAGAAGTTTTCGGTAGGCATATTTCTTTACATTTTTATAAATGTCAATTTTAGGTCGTTGATACGTTCTATGAGCCACCGAATTTTCTTCAACGAATTTAAAGAATGACAGTGTACGGATCATAAGAAGCGAAGAAACTTTGGATTATTGATAGTTTATGGATTTTATTATCCAAAGTATATACCTATTTTCACCATTTATCATTTCTTTTTAAATCTGATAAATATATGACAATTAAGTGGATGGTTTAACGACTGTTTTTAGGTAGGGAAGCGGTACAAAAAGGGCACCCAGTTCCGAATGTAGTTCATTTTATCTGTTGGGGATTAGGAAGTAATCGGATAAAAAAGTTGAGGTTTCTAGCGCTAGGTAACTAAAGATCAAATATAAAGAAAAATTAATGAGTTAGAGTTTATAATCAAGTTTTACATGTTCATGTAAAAGCAAATGGAACGCCGACATGGCATGACTGTAACAATATAATGCGTGTAAATTAAATATTAAATGATAAAGAGAGAACAAAATGCATAGGTGTATCCAAAAACAAAACAACATCAGCTTCTTAAAATTCTATATTTTCCCCATAACGCGCCATTAAATACATGCATGCTAGCCCTAAAAATGTCATTTTTGTCTTTTTAAATTGTAAGAAAAACCTGTTAATAGTCCTGACGTTTGGAGTGCTAAAACCTCCAATCCACTTTTGCGTGAAACATTTAAGGCTTTTTCCATTGCATTTTTCATTTCAGGCATCATACAGCCCTTAAATTAAATGTTTTCAAAAATTTAAAAAATTAAATCATACAAGCGATATGTATAAAAACCTGAAAATTTAAAATAAAATTTTTTTAATTTTAAATAAATTCTATTTTTACATTCCTCCAGCAAAACCAAAAGTATAAGCAGCAAATGTGTGTGTTATATTTCCAATCAAAACTCCAATAATGAATCCAATATAACAAGTTAAAGCAGAAAGTAAATTGTAAAACAATGCTTGACGCATTGTCATACCCGAGTCTAAAAGGATTGCAACATCCCCTAAAATTTTTAAAGGATTTTCAAAGACTTAAAAAATTTCAAAAAACAAACCTAATTCATGAGGGAATTCTTCACAAAGCACAGCCACACTAACACTTATACCGCTCAATAACGACTCAGAAAATGAAGCACCAATGGTAACACCGTCAATAAAATTGTGTAACCCATCACCGAGAATAATCATCCAAGCGACTGTAGCAATTACTGAATCGCCTTCTTTTACATCATGATCGTGGATACATAAAGCATGTGTCTAGCATTTTTTAAATATTTACGAGAAATAAAAACAAACCTGTTGTTTAATTGAATGATCAACATCGAACCTTTTATCTTTTCCTTCATTAGTACGAAGTAAATTCTCATTGCTCTAAAATTTTAATATTTTAGACAATAAAAATAATGGGATCCGAATTGCTTATTGCTAGTTCTCAAATTTTTCTATCGACCTCTCCCGAAATATCGGATTTTTTGGTTTTCGGGATCCGAGATTTTTTCGAGATTTAACCCTCGGGATCCCGTCCCGGCATTAGTTAAGAAAAAAATCCCGATCTGGGGTCCCGGAATTGCGATTTTGCCGACCTCTACTATTGACAGATATCGAAAACCCATTAGAAAGTTAAAAAAACAAAAAATTACCTGGTCCGCCTTCAAATCCTTTCCATTTGTTGGCTGCCCATTCTCTGGGTGCTCCTTTGTTTTCGAGTTGCCATGTCGATGCCTTGCTTGGTGAAGTTCTGCTGAGTCTTTCTGGGGTCGCTAATTAGATAAAATTTAAAAAATATTAAAATTAAAGTTAACAAAACCTTTCTTGATTCGACGACAATTTTGATGATTTTGTCCGAAAAGAAAAACAAATAGATCCCAATAATTGCCGCGAAAGACTTGTTCAGGTAGTCGTGATTGTCATGGGTATGCTCTTCGCCAAAACTCCCATGAGAGTGCTCCTGAGCCAGGTCAAAAGCCTTTATTTAAAAAATTGCCCTTTTGTTTTGATTACCTTAAATTGCTAGGTGTTAAATATGAAAAAAAGAGGGAAAGAAAATCCAAAAAGAAAAAAACTAATCTCACAATCCCAAAATTTATTTAAACAGGCCTGTGGTAGGAGATGAAACATTGCTGAACCAGAAAGAGATCCAACACCAACACTGACAAAAAATGTGATGAAGCGATTGTAGTATTTTTTGGTGAGAACTCGCATCACCAAAATTCCTACAACTGCACATAGCCCCACAACTTGAGAATTTAAAAATAATTTTTTCAAAAACATTTCAATAAAGAACCTGTAACAAAGGAAAGACCAACAGACCAAACTGAAATTTTTTTATTTAAAATTTAAATAAAATTCACAAAAGAACAAACCAAGTAAAGGAGACGGCCTCGCATTTTGCTGTAAATGGGAATGTTGTGAGTGTTCATGATGGGGTAAACAATGTTCATTGCACCATTGGTGAAGTTGTTCTGATGAATTAGTTTCTTGAGCTATTTTGCTTCCAGAGGGGAAAGAGTCATGCATTCAAAATTGTTTAAAACAAAAATTTAGCAATAAATGTCTAAAGCTCTAAAAAATAAATTAAAAAATAAATTAATAAATTAATTTTACGTTTTTATAATAGCTAAGTTTTAAAATAAATATAATTTGCTGATATTAATCAACTTTACAAAAGGAAATAAAAAAAAGAGATTGAATAAAATAAAGTGTAAAAATGTAAAAAAAACAAATCGACTAGGCGTTAAAAAATAAAAAAAAAGTTTTATTTTTAAAAAATAAAAAATTCGCAGTAGAACATTAGAATTACATAAATGATCGCTTTATAAATCGATCTAAACAAAATAAAAAAAATTTTAGTTTTAAAGATGTGAGTTGTCTAGATCAAAAATTAGCAGCCATTTACCTAATTTAGTTTGAATATTAAACTTTGAAAAAAAAGGTGAATACTGCCTATAAAATAACGATGAAAATTAAATAATCCTCAAAACTAATTGTGTGTGGGTTTTTTGCAAAATATTTTTAAAAAAATATTTGTATTTGTAGATTACGAATAAATTTATTTATATTATGCATTTGCAGAAAAACAGCTGCTCACTCAAATATATTTTATTTTTGTCACAAACACACAACTTAAAAATTACCTAAAATAATTTTTAGGTAGTCTTTTTCTTGCCTCATTTATTTTTCAAATTTTACTTCCACAAAAATTATTGGAAGTAAAGGGTTTATTTTATGCGCGAACATACATGATTTTAACTAGGGTAGCAACCCGACCCCGGATTTTTTTGACAAAAACCACGACTCGAACCCCGAAGACTACCTCGGCAAATCCCGATTCCCGACACTCCCGCCCCGAAGGCTTAGGGTGCTACCCTAATTTTATCACTCAAATTAACGTGTAATAAAATCAAATTTACAATAAACTCGAAAACAGTCAAAAATATAATTTTTGTGCAAATAAAATTCCAAGGATAAAAATATTTCTCAAACAAATCAAAATATATAAAAATGATGTAACATTTGAAAGAAAAACAAATAAAAAATTATTTTTCTAATTTAACTCATTTCCTAAACAACAAATAATCAAAAAAATACATAATAATTTGTGTAGATCATAAAATATAAAAAAAATAAATTTTAAACATTTAATTTGGTTTTATATGATAAATAAATTTCTGTTGCATTTTTTGACGATAAAAATCAAATAATTCGAGGCAATTCTGTTCGGCAAGTTTCAAAGCTTTCTGAAAAAATATTTTTTTCTAATTTTAATTGAATAACTTTACATTATGTTCTTCTAATGTAAATTCCCCTGTTGAATGTGTCCCAATCATTTTTCCACTTAAAATAACCGATGGTCGAAAAACAAAAGTTAAAATAGCTTTACTAGCATTTGATTGGAGTTGGTCTGGATTTATCAGTAATTCACCATCTATAGCTCTAAAAAAATAAAAAAAGATTATTTTTTGTTAAAGTAATGGGTAAAAGAATTTTAAATAAAGTTTTTAAAATTAAGCATTTTTGTGAATCATTTGAATGGAATTTATTTTAAAAAATAAATATTTATTTATTTCAATTTTATTTATAAGAGTACTAAAAACACAAAAAAGTAGAATATTTATGAATGATATTTAATTTTTGAGTTGTTAACGAAGGGGATTTGTGAATTCGAAAAATATTCTAATAGAGGGCTGGAAAATTGCGGAACAGGATCATTGAGTATCGGCAAGTATTGTACCTAGCCATATTTTGGACCATAAATTTTTAAATTCTTAGTGGTTAATTAATATATCAATCGAAAGTCCTGGATGTGAGGATAATTAGAGCGGCATGAATTATTATTAGAGGGACATGGAATATTCCCAATAAACCGAAAAAATCCCTTCCCGAAGAATTAAAGTTAATTCACAAATTAGTACTTTAAAGGACTCCAAAATTTGTTTATTTTTCTAAGAAAATATTTACAAAAAGTAATTACTTTTTGTGATCAAAAATTAATGTTTTACCTAATTCCAATTGTGACAGATGCAAATACATAATGCATTCGAATTCCAGAATCCAAAAGTGCCAAACAAATAGAATTTAAATGTAAAGCATCTGTTGGCCCGTCAGCTTTTAATTCTTGAGTACAAATTTGAATGCAAGTTCGGGGATAGGCAAATTCATCAATTGATGCTTTAACAATAGAAGAAATAAAACGATCAGAAGTATGAGCAAAAGAAGAGGATAATGATGAAGAATTTGGTTTAGAAACAGAAGGCCGAACAGTTGAAGCTAATTCTGAAAAAATTTTTTTTTGAAAAGTTAAATGTTTGTTTTCCAACCTTCTTTGCTTTTTTGTGGAATTCTGTTGATAGAAAAGAAAATATTTGCTTTGTCAAAGAGTCGTTTTGAGGACGAAATATCACCTGGACCCATAACTCCACAAAGCACCAAAGATAAATTTGATTTTAATTCACAAGAACCATCAGCATTAGAAAGTGGAGAAAGTATTGCTTCCATTTTGTTTTTAAATAATTTTTACTAAATTTGTAAAATTTTTTGTAAAAAAATAACAAAGAAAAACTGAGGGACACGCCCAAGTAGGCGCGCGGCCAAGTAGGCGCAAAGCCATAACTACCTGAAAAATTTATTGACCTTAACAATTTTGGTACCATTCTCTTTAGCTCGATGAGAGGAATCGTTTAATACCAAATTTGGTAAGATTCGGAAATTTTGAAGCAAGTTATGACTTTGCGCCTACTTGGCCGTGCGCCTACTTGGGCCGTACCCAAAAACTGAAAATTGTAAAATAATAAAAAGCGTATCTGTACAAAAGATCGGAACAAAAAAAGACCGCACCGGGAAAAAAAGACAGGACCCGGTCTTTTATCCCTTTTTGCCCGTTCCGGTCTTTTGTTACAACGATCTTTTGTACAGGAGCCTAAAAACGATATTGGCCCTCTTCATCACAGCAGTTTTATCGTTCGCTCTTTTATTTTACTTTTGTGTTTGTTGATGCTGTCTTCAAAAATATCCTTTGTCATCAATTACTTTTGTCATCGTTATATTATTTTTCTTTTGCTGAAAAATTAAAACTAAACCAATTTTTATTAGTTGTAATATTAATCAAAAAAAATATTTTTTTCTTTATTTCATTTTCATTAGTAATTTTATCAAATAATTTTTTTCTTTTTATTTTCTTTAAAAACAGGAAATATTAAAGTACATAAAACGTGAATTTTTATTTAATTTAATATAAAGCAATGGCTGAAGAAAAGTTCTCTAAATTGCCTGAACTCGTTAAAACCTCTCGATATGAGATTCAGCTTTCGCCGTGTTTGAGATCATCTACATTTAAGGGTTTTGAGAAAATATATTTGGATGTAAGTCTTATTTTAATTTAAATAATATGACCTTTTTTTTATAGATTTTGAAGCCAACAAATTATTTTAAACTTCACTCGAAAGAAATTGAAATCGAAAAAACTTCCTTGAAATTGGCTGATGGAACGGGTTTTGTTTAAAATCTTACTTTTTAAAATTAAAAATAATTTTTGTTTTAGTCATTAAAGAACTGAAAATTGAGCTTGACCGGAGATGGGAGTTATTAACTGTTCATTTTCCAAATGAACTCGCACCGCAAGCTGTGGAACTTGACTTGGAATTTATTGGAGGAATTTCTAATGAATTGAAAGGTTTTTATAGGTAAAATGATTTAATTCTTTCGAGACGTTTAATATTTATTTAACTACTAGATCTCCCTATAAAGATGAGGCTGGAAACAAGAAAATGCTGGCTAGTACACAATTTGAAAGTGTTTATGCTCGACGTGCATTTCCATGTTTTGATGAGCCTACTTATAAAGCAAATTTTGATATTCAATTGGAAGTTGATGAACAATTAACTGCTTTATCTAATATGAATGTTACTGAAGAAAAAATTATTGGAAATGGCAAAAAATTGGTGACATTTGCCAGAACTCCATTAATGTCCACTTATTTGGTTGCTTTTGCTGTTGGAGAATTTGAATATATTGAGGTAAATTTTTTCAAATTGTTTTTAAATTTATTTTTTTAGTCAAAAACAAATGATGGATGTATTGTTCGTGTTTATACTGTGCCTGGAAAGAAAGATAAAGGACATTATTCACTTTCTGTTGCCGTTAAAGCTATTGAATGGTTCTCTGAATGGTACGGAATTAAAATGCCTCTTCCAAAATGTGACTTGATTGCAATTCCGGAATTTTCGATGGGTTTATTTTTGTAAATTTTTGGCAATAAATTATTAAGAATTTTTAGGAGCTATGGAAAATTGGGGTTTAATAACTTTTCGTGAAGTTTGTATTCTTTGTGACCCTGTTTTGACCTCTTCAACTCTAAAGGAAAGGATTACACATATTGTTTCACACGAAGTCGGGCATTTTTGGTTTGGAAATTTGACAACAATGGTTAGTATATTCGTTTTTGTTGGACTTGTCGTTCCCAAGGGCGTACCCAGAGGTTCGGTTTGGGGGGGGGGAGGCTGACAAACTTTTCTGTATATGTACTTCTAAATTTAAATTCTTTTTATTTTATTAGAAATGGTGGTGTGATTTATGGCTCAAAGAAGGTTTTGCTTCATTTATGGAATATGTTTTGATTGGCCATAATTTTCCGGAGTTTAAAGTGTGGATGAACTTTATCAGCTCACGAATAATGACTGCCATGGAGAGGGACAGTCTTCGAAATTCTCACCCAATTGAGGTAATTTAATATTTACTTTGATTGTAATTTGGCTTTTCTAAGGTCCCAATTAACAATCCAAATGAATTAGAAGAGATTTATGATGCTATAACTTACGCCAAATCTTGTTCTGTTATTCGGATGTTATTTAATTATTTGGGGGAGCCAACATTCCAGAAAGGAGCGCAAATATATCTGGATCGTTTTAAATATTCAAATGCGATTACAACTGATCTTTGGAAATGCTTGAATGAAGCTTCAGGAATTGTAACATTATAATAAATAGTATAGTAAGACCAGTTTAATTATTTAAGGATGTTGGTGCCTTAATGTCTTCTTGGACACAACAAGTTGGTTTTCCTTTGGTAACTGTCCAAGAAAAAATTTTGGATGGTGATAAACGTGAATTGACTTTAAAACAAAGACGTTTTCTAATTGATGGCAGTATCGATGAAAATAAACCAGTTTGGCAAATTCCAGTTTCTGTAACTGTTCGATCTGATCCTTCAAAGCCTGCGGCAAAGTTTTTATTAACCAAAGAAGAAGATAAATTTGTTATTGAGGGTGTTAAGTCATCAGAATGGATTAAGGTTTTTATTTTTTGATTTTAGAAGATTTTCTATTTTTAGGTCAATTCAAACTTCTCTTCTTTCTTTCGAGTCTTCTATCCAGACGAAATGTTAAAAAAGCTTCTTCAAGGAATTCAAGACAAAGAACTTGATGTTATTGATAGATTTCAGATTGCTGATGACCTTTTTGCTGTAAGGATATTTGTTTAAAAGTTTTAAAAATTTAATTTTTATGTTAGGTGATATCTGCTGGACATCTCCCGATTTCACAATTTCTCGACTTCTTTTCTGTCTGTGATAAAGAAGATGACTTGATTGTTTGGCAATCTATTGCTACAGGTTTAGCGAAAATTAGACAACTTGTTGCAAATATGAATGATGTTGAACTGAAAGATAAATTTAATCGCTTTGTTTGTAAAGTTATTGAACCTGTTGCTGAGCGTTTTGGATGGGAGCCAAAGAAAGGAGAAGGTTTTTGATTTTACTTAAATATTCTTAATGTATATCTAATATCACTAAAATTGATAGATATGCAAACTTCCCAATTGCGTCCATTGTTAATTGGGATGCTATCCCGTTCCCAGCACCTTCCAACAATCGAAATTGCATTAAACAAATTTAATGAACATGTTGAAAAAGGCACCGAATTAGTGCCTGAGCTACGAACGACTATATTTCAAACTGCTGGCCGTTCTAATGATGAGAAAATAATTTTGGCTTTGCAGAAGATATTAACAACTTGCAACTTCTCTGAAGTTGAGATTGCATGTATTGCTGGTTTGTTTTTAAATTTTGTCATAGTTCTGAAATTTTTGATTATTAATGTATTTATGTTTATAGCTCTTGGCCAATGCACTGACGTTAAACTTTTGGAAAAAGTATTTGAACATGGAATTCTTGACAGAAATATTAGAAGTCAAGACGTTTTTTATTTATTCGGCTCCGTTAATTCGTCTGCCGACTCTGCTGCTCAACGTTTTCTTTGGAACTTTTTTAAGGATAATTTGAAGTTATTAATGCTGTATTGGGAGCCGTCTTCGTCTTTGTTTCAAAGATGCCTTTTATGGAGTGCAGATAATTTCTGTACATCTTCCGATGCTGATGACATTCAGGTCTTAAAATTATTTTTTAAAACTTAATTATTTTATTTAGAAGTTTTGTAAAGAAAATTTTACTGAACGCGTTCTGGAAACATTGGATAATACAATTTCTCGTGTGTTAGAACAAATAAAATTAAATGGTGAATTTATGAAGAACAATTCAAAATGTTTGAAAGAATATCTTCAAGCTGCCGGATTTTAGGTTTATTATTGACATTGAGAAGAAAAATTGATATTAAAATTATCATAATACATGAGTATAATTTTGATTAAATTTGTTGTAGATATGATCTAATTAATGTGGTATTTTAAAATTTTGGCATAAATATTTGTTAATTATTTTTGTAATATTAAGTTGATGCTTGTATTTCTAACAGATTTATTTGAAAATTTTTTTTATTTAATAAGGGGATTTTACAATGAGTTCTTTCTTCTAAAGTATCTTCCAACTGTACCTTTGTAAATTCTGTTTTATTTTCGTCCTACGCTAGAGGGGTATATAGGAGTTCGGACTCCTGATTTAGGTCATCTACTTTTTAGGTTATATGTAAATTTATCTTTTAGATTTTTTTACAAGTTTACCATTAAAGCAAACATTAATCTCTTACGGACATCGCTTCACCGTGTATTGGTCCCGAGGATCTCTAACGTGATAATGGCGGATAAGTTTTCTCGAATACCTGAGCTCGCTAAAACGTCTCGATACGAGATTCGACTCGCACCATGTTTGGAAACATTTAAACTTAAAGGCTCAGAGAAAATACATTTGGATGTAAGTTTGTTTTGTTTAGTTTATTCTAAAATAATTTGACATTTTTTGAAGATTTTGAAACCAACAAATTATTTGAAGCTTTACTCGAAAGGAATTGAAATCGAAAATGCTTCTTTGAAATTAGCTGATGGAACGGGTTTTATATAAAATCTTAATAAATATAATTTTTGTTTTAGTTATTAAAGAGATTAAAAACGAACTTGATTGTAAATGGGAATTATTGACAGTTAATTTTCCGAGTGAGCTACCGCCTCAGAGAATTGAACTAAATTTTGATTTCAACGGCGAAATTTCCAGTGAATTATCGGGTTTTTATAGGTAAATTCTTTATTATAATCTTTGATGGCTCAATCTTTGGTTGTTCTTTAATTTTGTAATGTTCGTGTCGTGGAAAAATGGGCTGGATAGGTGATGGAATAGAACCATCATAGAGTGGGCTCTTACCGAAGCACAGCCGACTGTGTTAACAACATTATGAAGGAAAAAAGGAGTGGAGTTAATAAATAATATTTAACTACTAGATCTCCCTACAAAGATGCAAACGGAAATAAGAAAATGTTGGCTAGTACACAATTTGAAAGCGTTTTTGCTCGACGAGCATTTCCCTGTTTTGATGAGCCTACTTATAAAGCAAATTTTGATATTCAATTGGAAGTTGATGAACAATTAACTGCTTTATCTAATATGAATGTTACTGAAGAAAAAATTATTGGAAATGGCAAAAAATTGGTGACATTTGCCAGAACTCCATTAATGTCCACTTATTTGGTTGCTTTTGCTGTTGGAGAATTTGAATATATTGAGGTAAATTTTTTCAAATTGTTTTTAAATTTATTTTTTTAGTCAAAAACAAATGATGGATGTATTGTTCGTGTTTATACTGTGCCCGGGAAGAAAGATAAAGGACATTATTCACTTTCAGTTGCCGTTAAAGCTATTGAATGGTTTTCTGAATGGTATGGAATTAAAATGCCTCTTCCAAAATGTGACTTGATTGCAATTCCTGAATTTTCTATGGGTTTATTTTTGCAAATTTTTGGCAATAAATAATTAAGAATTTTTAGGTGCTATGGAAAATTGGGGTTTAATAACTTTTCGTGAATCCGCTCTCCTTTGTGATCCTGTATTGACCTCTTCATCTACAAAGCAAAATATTACTCAAACAGTAGTTCACGAAGTTGGTCATTTCTGGTTTGGTAATTTGACAACAATGGTTTGTGTTAATTTTTTATTAGACGTTTTCGAACTACAAATATTTATTTTTAAATTAGAAATGGTGGTGTGATTTATGGTTGAAAGAAGGTTTTGCTACATTTATGGAATTTGTAATGAGTGGTTATAATTATCCTGAATTTAAATTATGGCTCCACTTTGTTAGCTCTCAAACAGTTTCTGCAATGGGGAGAGATTCAATGAGAAATTCACATCCAATTGAAGTACCTTTTAAGATTTTTTCATTTTATTTTTATCTTCAAAGTTTCCAATTAACAATCCAAATGAATTAGAAGATATCTATGATAGTATTACTTATGATAAGTCGAATTGTGTTATTAGAATGTTGTTTAATTATTTGGGTGAACCAGCCTTTCAGAAGGGTGCACAAATTTATTTGGATCGTTTTAAATATTCTAATGCAACAACTGATGATCTTTGGAAATGCTTGAGTGAAGCATCAGGAGTTGTTAGTAACTTGTTAGTAAAAATAATTATATAATTTATAATTTAAGGATGTTGGTTCTTTAATGTCTTCTTGGACACAACAAGTTGGTTTTCCTTTGGTAACTGTCCAAGAAAAAATTTTGGATGGTGATAAACGTGAATTGACTTTAAAACAAAGACGTTTTCTTATTGATGGCAGTATTGATGAAAATAAACCAGTTTGGCAAATTCCAGTTTCTGTAACTGTTCGATCTGATCCTTCAAAGCCTGCGGCAAAGTTTTTATTAACCAAAGAAGAAGATAAATTTGTTATTGAGGGTGTTAAGTCATCAGAATGGATTAAGGTTTTTATTTTTTGATTTTAGAAGATTTTCTATTTTTAGGTCAATTCAAATTTCTCTTCTTTCTTTCGAGTCTTTTATCCAGACGAAATGTTAAAAAAGCTTCTTCAAGGAATTCAAGACAAAGAACTTGATGTTATTGATAGATTTCAGATTGCTGATGACCTTTTTGAGGTTACAATTTATTTGATTTTGTTTTCAAAAATATTTTTAGGTAATCACTGCTGGACTGCTTCCTATTTCGCAATTTTTGGAATTTTTTTCTGTTTGCGGTAAGGAAGATAATTTAATTGTCTGGCAATCTATTATCTCCTGTCTTTCACAAATAAACCATATTCTTATTAATTTGGACGATGATGGTCGATTATTGGAGAGATTTAATCGCTTTGTTTGTAAAGTCATTGAGCCTGTTGCTGAGCGTTATGGATGGGAGCCTAAGGAAGGAGAAGGTTGTGATTTCATATATTTCTAAAATTAAAAAATTTGTAGATATGCAAACATCCCAATTGCGTTCTTTGCTAATTGGTCGTTTAAGTCGGTCTAAACATCTTCCAACTATAGAAGTGGCATTAAATAAATTTAAAGCGCATGTAGAGAAAGGAGCTGAACTTGTTCCAGAACTGCGTTCTGTTATTTATGCAACTGCCGCTAGGTCCAACGATGCCAAAATTATTGAGGCATTACAGAATATTTTGACTACTTGTAACTTTGCTGAAATCGAAAGTACATGTATTATGGGTAAGGAAATTGTTTAAAATATAATAATAAATCTTCTACTTTAGCTCTCGGTCAATGCACAGATTTAAAACTTTTGGAGCAAATATTTAATCATGGAATTCTTGATAATAACATTAGAAGTCAAGATATTTTTAAGCTTTTTGCATCAGTAAATTGTTCTACTAATTCTGCAGCTCAACGTTTTGCCTGGAATTTTTTCAAAGATAATATTGATTTAATGACAAATCTTTGGGATCCATCTTCCTCTTTGTTCGAGAAAGCTCTTTCGATGAGTTCAAATCATTTTTGCTCCGCTTCTGATTCTAATGACTTTCAGGTCCTTTAAAGGAAAACGATATTTACTTTTAGAAATATTTTCTAAAAATTTTAGAATTTCGTCAAATCTATTTTTTCTGGAAGTGTAATGGAGACATTACAAGGCCCCATTCAGCGTATAGTGGAACGAATAAAATTGAACGGGCAATTTATGAAAAACCATACACAAAACTTGCAGGAATATTTACAAGCTGCTGGTTATTAAAAGTTATTAGATTATATGTAGTAGTAATACAAGGCTTCGATCCCTCATCAAAGACAGTCCTTTAAAACTGACTTGTCAAAATTGAAAATATTTTTGATCTCTCTCTCCTTTGAGATTGTTATTTTGTCAAAATATCCAGAAAAATTTAACCAGGGTTTATGAAAGAGAATCTCTGCACTTTAAACGAAGACCGTTAAATTTTCTCGAATAAATTCCCCGTAAAAATCGCCGTATACCCTTTGAAATTAAACTTTTTGTTCTTTATCTTATTCTCGATCGGAGCCCTGTAATAGAAGGAAATTAGCAATTTTGTTGCCAAATATTTTTAATTTGTTATTTACATACATAGACCTCTGTTTATTGTTGTTATCTCGAATTGTTCAAATTTTAAATATCTTGTAATAAATATTGTTAAACTGCTTGTTAGTTATGTTTTTGTCTTTACATATTAGTTTGATTTAATTTAATATTTTTTATTTATAAGCATTTCAAATTAATTTTTAAATTTTTGTTTTAATTTAAAAAAATGACCACAAACCGACAATATCCAGCAAGAGAAATTATTTGGTAAAAATTAAATAAACTAATAAAATTTAAAAATAACTAATAAAATTTTTTGTAGTGCTTTAATGTTTTCTAATGGAGATTCAAATAATTCTTTGGATGAATGCCAAGATTTTGTTTACTCTACAGTTAAAACTCAGTTGAGGATGATTGTTAATAAAAGTCGAAAATTATCTCAAATACGTGGGTAGGCTTTTTGAAATTTTCCTTCTTTGAATTAATTTTTTAATTTAGAAAGACTAAAATTGGCTTTTTGGATGTCCTTTTTTGTTTTAGGTAATTTTTTGTTTAATTTTTAAAATATTTACCACAAATTTAGACGTCACCCATTGATAATTAAAAGAATGATAGCCTACATAAAGGTCAATTAATTTATTTTAATTTAAAATAATTTTAATAACAGAGAGTTGAAATTATTCCTGTACTTACTCATGCTTATGAAAGTACTCTTCCTAAAAATGAAGAAATTGTTGACGATGATTTTAATCAAAACTGTAATACTTCTGTTGTTGATCTTGAAGATGAATATAAAGGGAAATTGTAAGTGTATTTTTAAATTAAACTTGGGAAATATGTTCATCTAATTTATTGTTCATCTAATTTAAGATGAACAACTTACTTTTTTTTTAGATGAACAACTTATTTCCAGTTTTATTATTCTCCTATTTTTTAAATTATTATATTTAGACTAAAAAACATTTCCGGAGGAGTCATGTTAAACTGAAATTTTTTTAGTTTCGTGGATTTTTTAAAAATTGTTCCCTGATTTCTATATCTTTATTTTCCACGATTTAACTTTATTTTCGATCCTAATATTTTATTTTGGACAAAGAATATATTTTTCGTTAATCAAATTTTAATTTCAAATTTTTTAGAAGCAAACATGTTTTGGACGCTCTAAAAGAAATGGATGTTCTCGGCACTCTTCTAAATGAATGTTGGTTACCCGACAACGAATGGCAAGACTCTGCAAAAATTGAAAGAATGCGTCGAATTGCTGACAGAGTTCGAGAAATGGACGGGCATTTATATGATTGTTTTTCTGACGCTAGACAAAAATCTTTTTGTTCGAAAAAAGGAAGGGATTTGCCTTCTTTGAGAAAAGGATTTCTTAAATGGATTGAAGCTGAGGATATAGAGCAGTGTGTTTCTTATTTATTCCAATTTTGTGCTATTGAGATTGTGGTGAGTTTGGCAACTAAAAAATAAAATAAAAGCCTTGGGTATCCATTCTTTACATGTCAGAACTTATCCCGTCCTGTTATGTCCGAGGGTTATCCGAGATTTAACTATTTTGACGTGCAATGTAGACGAAGGGATTGAGGCTGGAACAGACGAAGGAGATCAGTATAAGATCACTATCCGCGCTAGTATGATTTAACTAGACTGCCGATTTCACTGGCTTTTATACTATGGTGACATCACTACACAACACGTCCTTTTAACATTTCAATTCCTAAATATCCTAAAATTTTCGAGTTGTTACTATACATCAGTTATTCCCGTCATATGTATCCAAAATAATTAACAAACTATAATTTAATAATTTCAGACAATTCTCGTTGAAAGTGCCCTTTTATGTAGAACAGAAGAACAGCAAAAGAAAGAAAAAACGTTGGAGGGATATTCTGCCGAATTTAATGATATAAATACCCCTCTTCGTCTGTGTCATTATGAGGAAGCTTTAAAACGTAATAGAGGATGGGCATTGAGAGGAGATATTTTATTTGGAAATTTTTAACAATTTAAGGATATTTTTAACATTTTAATTTAAAAAATTAATTATTTTTTGTATATTTAATTTTAATTTAATATTTTTTTTATTTCATGTGTTATTTAATTTAAATAAATCTTTTTTAAATAATTAGTTCAATTTCTTTTAGGAAAAAAATAGGAATAAGAAAATTAAATTATAAATATTCTTTTTGGATAATCAAAGCTTTATTTAATTGAAAATCTTTTTGTATTAAAATAAATCCTTTTCTTTGTTCCAATTCTTCCGGCATTCTTTTCTTAAAAATAAAAATATGTTATTTATCTTTTTAGAACAAAAATGGGACTTTCTTTAAATTACTAAAATGTGTTATTTATTTTTTAAAAGTTTATTTTCAAATTTGATTTGTTTAATGTTTTTAATTGGTAATTTAAATTTATAATTAATTTTAAAAAATTATGTAGATATATTATGTATGACTACAATAAATTTTAAGGATTAAAAAATATAATGGCTGTATAGTATACCGGTGGTAACGTTCCGATATAGGACCCATACCATTCGATTCGTCTCGACGAGCTGAGTCGAACGATACCACTATTTTTACAGGAACCTTACCACCGGTATACTACATATACTATAGCAAATATAATCCTCAAAATAATTGAACACTTAAAAAAATTTCCAAAATTTCAAGTATTTCACCGTTCACTTTTTTCGTGTGAAACAACAACAAAATTATCGTGTATCAAAAATTGTAGTGAAATATTTAAACATTCACTTTCTTCAATTGCTGGCGTTGGATTTAGAACGCCTTTAGATATGTTATCCCCTTTATATTCAATTATTAGGTTGTTAAATTTTTAAAATTAATTTTTTTAATTAAATAAAAATTAGGTATAGTGCAAATAATGTTGTTGTAATTAGAAAATCAGAATGGATTTGTTTGTATGTTTTCTTTAGTAAATTATATTATGTTTGTAGAAAATTTACTGAGGGGAGATAAAAATAAGTGTGGGGCTGGCTATACATTTGTGAAATAATCGAGGAGAGGGCCCAATTCCAGGTAACAATCGACTGTGCCGATAATGGGTTATTTTTATTCATTCATATTGTTTTTTCCAAGTACAGGCACAACAATTACTATTGTAAAATATTTCACTCAAACACTTAAGTGTGATATTTTATCTCAAATTCAAATAACAATATTAATTATTATAAGTACTTGCCATATATCGGAGGTAGGGGGGGGGGAGTAGAAAGAAAAATAAAAAAGGAAAGTAAATATATCTCTCCGACAAAAAGAAAATTCTTTTTTTTAATTATCTGAAAGAAAATAAAAAAAATTAAGGTCTGTAGAAAAATTTAAATTATGTTCAGACAATTGTATGGATAACAGACAAAAAATGGTTGAATTAGCCAATGTTGGTTATTGGACAAATATATGTCAAATACTTGTTGATAAACCAAAAAGTGTTTTTTTAGTTCAAAAATAATTTTAAAAAAATTTTTAAAAGTATTTTCTGAATTTATTACTTGTCAAAGAAAACATTTAGAGGAAGTTGGCAAAAAATGTAAACCTTTACCTTTAAAAGAAGAATTAACAATTAGTTTATGGCAATTTTGTAGGTAATCAAGAATTTTAATTTAAAAAATTAAAATTTTATTTTTTAAAAGAATAATGAATGATTATACAAAATGTTATGCAGGAATAAAACTTAAATGTTCGAAAAATGCAATTCAAGTAAATTTAATAAAGTGAAGGAGTTTTTTGACTTTTGGCAAAAACAAATTTTAGAAAATAATTTTAGTAAGGAAAAGTTACTTATTTACATTACTGCCAATATTTATTCTAAAAATCAGAAAAACTCCAATTTTTATTAATTTATTATTTAATAGTTTTTTAGAATTTTATTTTAATTAATAGTTAATGATTAAGGTTGGCGGATAGTTGAAAACTTTCGGATATCCGCATCCGCCCCCCTTATTAATAATTACCGTAAATTCTCTAATAGAAGTACGTCTCCAAGTGAAGCACACCCTACGAGAGGATCGAAAAATAGAAGCACTGTGCTTTAATTAGAGAATTAATAAAGACAAAAATTTATATTTAATTTTAATAGTTCTCTCAAAATTATCAAATATTTTACAATTTTTATTAAAATAATAATTTTAAAAAGATTTATCGTCAAATAAGCGAATCTATAAACAAAGCATTTGAACGTATTAGACATATATCTAAAGAACATTTATTAATGCCTGAAGAATGTAGAAAAAGAATTTCTGAAACTAATAAAATAATTTTAATTGAAAAATCAGAAGAAAAAGAAGAAGAAATTAAAGAAAATAAAGAGAATAATGATTATTGGAATGATTTAATTAATGAAAGAAATGTTACTTTAAAAAATAAAGGAAATTGTGATTATTGGAGAATTTATATTTTAATTGTTTTTATTTGTTTAGATTTTTTAATTTAATTTAAAAATAATAAATTTATTTAAAAAATATTGTTTTTTATATTTAAAGAAGAAATTGAATAATAATAATTAGTGGAGATAAGATAGGGACAGAAGTAACTGAATTTAGCCTGTGCAACTAACGTTCGCCTCTACAACTAATCGAAATATCTTTTCTGGAAAATAGGATTTAACACGTTTATAGCAAATTTAAAGGGCTTTCGAATAAGCCCAAAATGAAAATTTAAAACAATCTATAAGTGGTTGAAATTTTATTTCGAAGTTGCCTAGTTGACTTAATTTTGTCCATATCCATCACTTATTTTTTAAAACTTTTTAACATAAATCAATTTATTTTAAAATAGTTTTTGTGCTTTAATCTAAAACAACAACAAAAACAACACCTGTTTCTAATTATATTTTTATTATAATCTAGCAGCCATATGTTTAACGAAAAATTAAAAGTTTTGGGAGATGCACATTTTGATGACTCATTGAGGGGAAAAGAACACTTTTTTTCGATAAAATAAATTTTCCGTCTGTCTGTAAATAAAAAATAATTTTTTTAAAATCATTTTTTGTAAAAAATATTTTTTTTTCTTTAACAAAAAAAATTTGTTTATTCTACAAACATTCTCCCCTCTATATTGATTCTGTTGGTCATATTTTCCAAGAAAAAGGTCAGGGGAAGGAGATGTTCGCCGTTTTATATTGATTAATTATTTGTGCAACACAAGTTAATGCTTAAAAGTTTTAGAAAATTGTAATAAATAAATGGAGATTTTTAGTTAAAAAAGTTTTTGAAAAATCCTTTAAAAAATCCTTTATTGTTAGATATTAATCTGTGAATGTTTGAGAAATATTCAATAAAACAAATATATATTTTCTGAAACTTTATATTGTTTTGTTGTTTTTAAACTTAAAATTAAGCATAAACAAAGTCTGAAAAAATTTTTAAATCAATTTTCTACAAAAAATGTTTTAAATTTCATTTTTTTAAATGCCAAAATTTAAATATTCTTTTTTAAAAATAAATTCACTTTAATATTCACTTTAAAAAATACCACAAAATTAATGAAATCCCAACCTTTATTACAAAGAATTCTACATACATGTTTTCCATTATATATTTTCTGAAGCTGTTTATTTTATGAATATGTAGGATTGGCAACTCCTGGGAAATCCACAAATCTCCGGATCCACTCACCAACCCTTAACTGTAAAATATACAAAATATTTTCTCTATATAATTTGAGAAATTTGGTTCTTTTTATTTTTAAAGCATGTTATTGTAAAATAAAGTTTAGTATTATCTTGACAATAATTGTATTTTTACATAAAAATTTTTTAAAATTTCCAGCCAAAAATAATAATTCTTTCAAAAAGGCTTGGTGTGGAAAATGCCTTCTTTAACTACAAATTTATTATTATTTATTTTAATATTTATTTCAATACAAAATTTAATAATTAATGGACAACTAAATAGACCTGAACCTAAAGTCCCTCCTGTCGATCCACATCATTATCAACCAAGTTTAAGTGCTTGTTATGATGAATTTAAAAGACCACAAAGATGTGTTCCTGATTTTATAAATGTTGCTTTTAATTTGGAAGTTGAGGTAAATTTGTGGAGGGATTGAAGAAGGAAGGTATTGAGGGAGGAGAGGGAGGGGGAAAGGGTGGAGGATAAGGGGGTGGAGTTTAAAAATTGATTTTAAAAATTTAAAGGCAACAAATACTTGTGGTGTCCGTGCCCCAACACGTTTTTGTGTCCAAACTGGCCATATGGGTAGCAACAAAGTTTGTGATGTTTGTGATGTCCGAGTTCCACAATTAGCACATTCACCAATATATTTAACGGGTTTTTTAATTTTTTTGTCTGAAAAAATTATAAAAAAAATAAAGATTTCAATAATCCTGAAAACGCAACATTTTGGCAGTCAGAAACAATGGCTGAGGGAATGCAATATCCCCAAACAGTTAATTTAACTCTTCGTTTATTTAAACGTTTTGATATAACTTATGTTCATCTAAAATTTGTTTCTCCACGTCCTGAAAGTTTTGTTATTTACAAAAAAGTTAAAAATACTGATGATTGGATACCTTGGCAATATTATAGGTAATTTGGAAATTATAATTCGAGAAAAAACTATAAGGGAAGAGGTATAAAATAAATAATTTTTTGATTATAAAATTAATGAAATTATGAAGCTATTACACATTAATCATTTCGAAAGAATGTCGGTTCTGAACCAAACCGAGGATTTTTCGGTTCGGTTTTAGATATCCGAAGAATTTCGAGGAATCGATAACTCTAGAAATGGACATTAAACTAAAATTTTGGGTATAAATCCATATTTTATTTAAAAATGAGAAACATTCTAATCAAAACTTTAATGAATTTATTTTTCTCTTATATGAGTCAAAACTAAAATGTTTTCAAAAACTTCAATTATTTAAGCGGTTCTTGTCGTTCAACATTTAAATTACCCGAGAAAGCACCGATACTTCCTGGTAACGAAGCTATGGCTCAATGCACGAGAGAATTTTCTGATATTTCCCCACTTACTG